GTATAAAATTAAATTTATATTATACAAATGAAGAATTTTTAAGAATTTAATCAACGTGTCGATAAAGTTTTGTATTCGTACTTTTTTAAAAAAATGCGTGTCCACATATCTGACACGCATGACGCATCGTGTCCGACACGCGTATCAATGTCGGTGTATCATAGATCATAATGGTCCCTGCCAAATCTCGATAAGAAAATTCAGCATTACAACAACGGAGTCGGTATATATACCATTCTCAACTAGTATTTCATGAAATTGTACGACTGTAAATAATACTTCTGCTCTCTCTGCTTTATGCACGGACTGTATAAGCGGAAAGCTACACTCAGTCGGGGACTGTTTTTAAGTTAAGAACAAAATTTTACGAGTATATTCCTCCTCAAGAACAAAAACATAGCCGGAAGAATGTAATGGTTACCACGAGATATATGTTCTCATGAAGCTCGGTATTTATCCTTTACGGCTGAGGCCGCTGCTTTGTACCATGAGGATGCAGCCATGGCCCCCGGGTCTGGAACTGAAGCAAGAATATCAGTCGAGACATATGAAGAACGGCCAGCCTGCAAATCCAAAATTTAGTCCAATACAGAGTGCGTGTATGGCTAGCTTGACAATGATAAAAATTACTTTTGTTTCCATAAAGGTTTGGACGTTACTTTTTCCTACTTTTAAGTAAAAAAAGGAGTTTGTTATTTTGGCAAGTAAGTGTCAAGACAAGCAACTTACTTTCCAACTTTAATCAATAAAAGAAATTTATTAGCCAAACATGCTTGAAACGAAAAAAATAAAGTCAGCAAAGGTCTTGGAATGCTACCTGTGCGAGCATGTGTTTAGTTGATTCAGCACCAGCAACTGCTGCTTCAGCAGAAAGAACAAATGCTTCAACAGGATCATCTCCGGCAGTCAATTTCTGTTCATAAAGCTTAAAATATGTTTACAAAGCCTGGAGTCAAATGAATATCAAATCTCTAAACATGGTAATCACGTTTATAACCTCTTTGAGAACTGACAATGCTGGAATAAGAGCATCCAATAATGTACGATAACCTGCAGTGGCTCCACCATATTTGCTGACTGCAGCTATTGCGGCTTCAAATGCACCAGCCCCTATATCAAGAAGCATTAAATTGCCTAATGCCAAACGTGTTAACTCAGCAAACCTAGAAATTGCAGCATTCAAGTCATCTTACAGTGTAGGGGCGTAATAACTGAATGGCTATCAGCTTTCAACTGTGCATATGCTGCCTTACAAAATATATCATATCTGTTGGGAAGACGGATACAGGGTTATCATTCTTTAGAAATGATTATTGTAGATATCAAGAAAAACATTGTACATATAAATAGCTAGAGCAGCCATATTCTTCAAAATGAAGCGGGCATATATCATACATGATTCCACTTGTTCCTCCCATGACTCTCCTAATAGAAGATCCAATTTCATTTACGGTTTCTGCTGGATCATTCAGTGGATAACTGGGAAAATAGAAATTCAAAAAGAAATAAAGAACTATTAGTCAATGCAAATGATCCTTGTACACACAAAAATAGAATGGGCAAAAAATATAATAATAAAGAAAATAAATGAAAGGTAAAATGAACAAAAAAACGAGTAAAAGAAAAACAAGTACAAATATATTATCATAGACAAAATTGGCATTGTAGTGCATCCAATGTGCCATAATTTTTAACAATCAGCAATCCCGCATATCCTAGACGCAAAAAGCATTTCTATGTTTTGCATATATATTGGCAACACAAGTTTTAAGTTCATCTGTGAATCATTTATCAATTTTATTCCGAACTGAACCATGAAAAATGTTATAAAACCATAACCACAGCGACAATCAATGCATAATTGGAATATAAAAAAAATTACTTCTGAGTTATGAAATACAATATAGCAATAACAATTTTAATGATATGGTCAAAAGTAATATAGTAAGAGGAAACGGGCTTATTGTTTCAAAATAATCCAAGGAATGAGTGGTGGACATTTGCAAGTTGTATTAGAAGTCAAGCACTAAATCCAAAAAAAAATGGCTGTAATGATTCCAGAAAGCGTCAACCTAAACCAAAATCAAAGACCATTTAAATAATCTACAGGACCAGAGTCCCCTTGCCCTTGTGTTAAAAAAAGATTTTTTAAGTACAGGAATCTGTATCTATAACCATAAGAGAATCAGGACCAAACTAGTCACGTCCAAATAGGACAATTATTTCAAATTCCAAGTACTGTGGAGTGTGAACGAGAGAGAGAGAGAGGGCAACAGAATAGGATGACTTTCAACCTTTTTATGTCTTCAAGAATAGCGGACGCACCTCTGAACATCTATAACATGGAAAGGAATTAGAAGTATACTCAATGTGCAATCACGTTGTGAAAAGCATGAGGTGCCACATATATTAAATCACAGTACTTACTGTTGATCCACAATCACCATCACCAACTTTGCTGTCCCATTCATTTAAACTGTCCCTGAGATTGACAACTGCAGTTGCAGCTGCTTCAATAGCAGCCTCAAGAATATGGCCCAGAGGACTAAGCTGTTTGGGCCGATTTGATGTCTAATGAAAAAATAAAACAGGTAAGCATTGAGGCTATTGTCACAATAAAAGATCATATTTCCTTCCAAGTTCACAGCATCAAGAATAGAAATGCAAGCTAATACAGTTTGTTCATCCATGACGTGCTTCAAATTTTGATGTGAGGATGACAGTGCCAGATATTACATATACGTCATTTTAATGCATAAGAAGACTTGGAAGTGCACATAATCCTTAACTTAGAAATAAATAAGCCCATGTTCGTCTTCCATTAAATCAAAACTCTTTTTTTCTCAAACTCATTTTCAACAAACAATAAAATATTTAGCGTGCATATCCAAAACTATTTCCACATTTGAAGAATCCGACTAAAAATAACCATTAGTGAGCAGAGAGGCTGTCTGGGATCATATTTGGTGCAATGATTTATCAATGTGGGACAAACTCAAACACCATCCTTGTTAATGACACGTCAATGCTGAGAAATAAGAGATATATTCACGTAACAAATGAGCTCCTACTAACACTTGCAACGAATTTGTGCAGAACGAGGATGAGGATGAATGTCATCTTCACTTACACAGGTGTCATATGGACAGTGTGCTCAGTCAAAAGGAAGGCCATTGAAGGAGCTATATCTTATGGTAAGGGAGGTTATCTTCAAGAAGTCCAAATTGTTTCCACAAACTAGTTTTGGCAAATTGGCAATAGATACATAATGACCCTTGACATACCTCTTCATTCTTGTTTGTATGAGACGGTGGAACCGGAACAGGAATCTGAGCAGGTGGACGGTACCCTGCAAGCAAATTAGATTTTGAATAAACGTAATTAACCCATTTTTTATAATAAACTGAGTTTAAATGGACTTGTTGCAAAATGAGGTATCAACATATATCATTAGTGTAACAATCTCCAAAAGCATCAGGAGTTTGGATGAGAAACACCCTTGTGAGCTTGTAAGCAGATATAGTGATAAAGTACTAACCATCAGCACCAACAGGCCAATTTGGAGCCTTAGTTGGAGCATCCAAGCGGTCCAAAATAGCTTCGTCTGCATTCATCACAGTGATGGAAAACCCTGTCCAGAACACACAAGCGAAATAGGAGCATGTTTGAGTAATCTTAAAAGTTCGACTTTGAAATAAATGTTTAATGCCAAACATATTTGGAAATTTTATTTATTTATTTTTTTAAGTAAAAAACAAAACTTAGTGCTTGTGTGGAAGTGATTTTTTGAAAATAGCTTTTCTCCACACTCATTTTCAACTACACACTCCAAAAAAAATCATTTTTCACATTTCCCCTTACTTTTCCTCACTTTTTAAAAACACATTGTCCAAAAAATCATTTTCCAAATAATCTCTCCCACACAAGGGCTTTTTTTGATTTTTTGACAGTGAAATGATAGTTACTTTCAAAATAAATTTGATTAACAAAATCTATTAACTTATAAGCAAATATTTAAGCTTGGAAAAACAAGCATTAGGTCTTTATCTCATAAATAAGCTCTAGCAGTCGTTAACATACCAGCCATGTCAAGAGACGTCATAAATGACCCTGTATAAACTCTATCAACAGCCAGACCATGTTCTAGCTGCAATCTAGGAACAGCCTTTCCAGCGGCAATCATAAGTTCCATTAGCGGAGTGGCCCCCAGCCTGCAGTTCAAGAAGAATACTAAAAGAATAAAACTAGCAGACCAGAATCAATTCGATCGAGAAACAAAATATGATCTAGTATAACTATATAGTCAGAACAGTGTGATATAATTGGAAATCAGAATGTACATACATTGAACAATGCAAAGTCTGAGAAAATGACAATTTAGTTGCTCAGCCTGTTTGGCCCCATTTATTAAAGCTTATTTTTACGCAAACTCATTTTCAACCACATATTTCATGAGATCCAAAATTTTTATCCTTACTCAAACTCATTTTCAACCACATAATTTTGAAACCTTTTGTGCAAGAAACCCCCTACCGTCAAGATCCGTCAGATTTTCCGTTAAAAAATGCTAAAATTAAAAAGGAATAATTGTAATTTCATACACAACCTTTTTATTTTTTCACAAATTAAATCCAAATTTTTTATATGTGCCATTACAATCCCAAATTTTTAAAACTTTATTT